TTTCATTGTCTGGCGCGGCGGACTGTCAGCATTTATTGCTACGGAGCGTTGGGCTGCCGTCGCGGGACAGATAGAGGCCCGATGGCTCGTCATCTTATCTGAGCTAACGTCGTCGCGGGACAGCTCTACGATAGATGGCTCGGCACTTTACCTGAGCCACCCTGAGCCGTATGACTTAAGTTTCCACACCGACGGCGTCAACACGTCTGGAAACATAAATGCATTGGCCTACCCTCAGCCCATCTGCACAACGCTCTCATTCACTCTCCCATTCCCCCCAGTCTCTCCATTGTTCACTCATACCCAGCTCTGTCCCATCTCCGGCGACATGTCCGCTTCGTCTACATCATCTCTCCCCGTCCCGGCGGACTGGCTGCTACCCCTGATGGCATGTCCACTCTGCGGCGATGAGGTAGTGACAGCCGTCGCAAGGAGTGGGAACCAGGTTGGGCATCGTTTCAACAAGTGCATCCGTTATGATGTAAGTATTTTTTGATCCGATCTTGTCAGGTTTTTCATATTGAATCAAGATTTCACACACATCTCACCGGACTGACATAGAAGAGTTTTCACACACATCGTTTCGATGGACGCATGTTGTCCAAGTGTCGCTACGTCAGACGCATTTACATGCCACGAAGAAATGCTTGATCAAGGGAAAAAACAAAGGCCTCAACATCCAGACGACGCTGCTAGTCCCAGTCAGCATCAGCCAAAAAAACCTGCTCAAATGAAGTTATTTCGCTCAAACATATTCAGTAACCATGATCATGGATACAAAACGCAACTCAACAGGATGCAACCACTGTAAATCTATTTTTAGCTTTCGAAATGCCAAGGCCTCCCATATAAAATTATGTATGATTCAAATAGAGACGGCAGGAATATATTTTTTAGAAATCAAATAGTGCAGAAACAACAATAAACATGGTAACAATACTAAAGTTTACGTGTTGTTATCATCTCAAACAGCAGTTCGTAAATTCAGACTAGCTACCAAATTTTTCAGAAAACCATAAATCCTTATGCGTGCTCTAGGACACAACTCTAGATCGTTACAAACATGGACAGTACATCTCAGACTAGCTATCAAATTGTTCTCACAGCATCCCACAATTTTTTCTGCTTGCCCAAGGAATGCAAGACCATGATATCTCATATAGGAACAGCATACAAATCCTGATCCGGGACGGACTGCAGATCAGACCTCATGAAAAAGACAAATACATATTCATCGACCGAAAATTGCACAGCTCAGCTCTCGGCAAACCAAAGAGGCCTCTTGCATGTGTTCCCCGGTGTCCTTCTATTCCGCAGTTCTTGCATCTGCCTGGTTTCCGTGGCTTCTTCGGAGCATCCCCTCGCTCTGGACATGTGGTCCTCTTGTGCCCCTCGCGGTGGCAAATGCTGCAGAACCTGGTACTTTTACTCAGCCCTTCGTACAGTGCCTTCTCCCTGCTGCTTGTCGGCCTGCCAGTTCCTCTACGCTTTTCTGGTGCTGCGAGGCACTGAAGTTCATTCATGCCGACAGAATTCGCAGCACTGTTGCATTGGTCAGCCTCCTGATCAGCCAAAGCAGGATCGCCGTTGCAAGTTAAACTGGCATTTCCATTTTCAATGTGACGATCCTTGAATGCCAATCCATCCCGCGCGACCGCCAGAGGCGCTCCACCCCGCAGCAGAGTCCAGCCCAGAATGCATGTAGTCATAGCATGCAGCACTTGCGTCCCCCATTCACACAACTTCCATGGCTTTAAAATATGAGTGAAGATCAGAACCCCCTCCCCTCCCCCGCGTCGCCCTCCCCACGGGCGACTCGGGAGGCGACGCAGCCCTCGAGCGCTCCCTCCCCTCCTCCTCCCCCTCCCCCTGCCGCCGCCGGTGCTCCCCGCCGGGCAAAGCCCTGGTGGATCCGGCGGCGGCGGGACTTCGCTCCCAGGCGGCCTCCCCCCTCGAGCGTGGGGCTAGACGAGGCTGACGGAGCTGCGCTTCTCCGAACCTAGGGTTTCGCGACGGCGGCCCCAGATCCAGAGGGTCGGGCCTCTGGACTGGCGTGGCGAGCACGCGGGCGGCGCGGCGCGACCCTTTGGGGGCGCGGCTGCGGCTGCTTGGCTGTGCCCCGGCGGATCCGGGCGGCGGAGGCTGCGGGCCGGTGCGGCAGCGGCCATGGTCGGCGGCGGCAAGGTGCAGGTGGCTGGTCTCCGCGACGGCGCCACTAGCCCTGCTCGACGCGTCCCGTGCGATGGCTGGCCTTGTCTGGCAGCCATCCGGCAGCTGCTGCACTGCGCTGGCCGGTGCTTCCCTACATCGACAGTGACAATACGTGGTTTCCCTCTCTGTGCTGGTGGTCCTCTCTGGCGATCTGCTTCCCCATCTCCTGTTTGCTCTGCTTCGGCGGTTTTGGGGTTCTGGTCTTGGGCCGGGCGAAATCCCTGCGCAGCGATGGCCTGCGCTGACAACGGCGACACCTGAGGGTGCCGTTACCTCCATGGAGGCGCTGTCATGGCCCGGACTGGACCCTCTCCTCGGGCACCAGGGGAAACCCTTGGTCCAGTTCCCTGGACAAGGCAGCGGCGGCGTCTCAGCGTCGTTCCTTTCTTGAAAGCGCTGCTTGGGTCGCACTTGGAGTCCCCTATGCGTCAGCTGGAGATGGTGGCCTCCCCGGTCTTTCCGGCGAGGTTTGCTGGTAATGCGATGCTGTGATGAGGGTTGTAGCATGGAGCGTGGGCGTCCGGGGCGCAATGTACGCCGGCGCCGGCACGTCCAAGACGATGGCTTCGCTAGTTTTGGCTGGGTCCTGCCATCCACCTGCCGTCTCCTAGGCACATATGGGTGGAAGGTACGTTGGCCCGGTCAGCCCTGGAGATGCAGTCTTCTTCGGAGGCGCCTGGCAACGGCTGTGACGCGGCCTTGAGGCTCTGTGTCTAGCTACCTTGCCATTCATGGTTGGAGGCTGGACAAGGCAAGACCTTTCGTTGTTGTGGTCTGTAGTTGGTAGCACCTCCTCACCTACTTGTCTGGTGAGGATGATGGTGTGTGTGCGTGTGTCCCTCCTTCTGGGAGGTTGTACCTGTACTGCTGTTCTCTTCCTGTTCAATGAAATGAAACGCAAACTCTTTTGCGTTTTCTCGAAAAAATGGCTTTAAAATATAATGTTGCATGCCTGTACGCACGACAAATTATGCGATTTGTCGTTCTGGTATTGAACCAGGTAACCCTCGCATCTCTTGTCCACCTTTTCAGGATATGGTACTTAGGGATTTCATCAAGATGTAGAATCTCCATCACCTACATTTTTTTCATAATTAACATATGTTAGTGAGACATGTCATTCTTTTCCTTTGAAAAACTGAATTATGTACATCAATACACTTATGCAGATTACCCTCAAAGCATGGCAGCAAAGCATTGATTTCCTGTGTGCTCAAATTGACCACATTCGCACGTGAACATTAATTTGTCTTCATTAACTATCACCTCGTACTCCACTCTACTCCACTTCTCTCTCTTTGCTGCATTATTGTGAGTTGTGATGTATTTCCTCATCCTTTCTACTTCAGTCACATTGTATGCAGTTCCTTCTATTAGGAGGCGGCCAAATTCCTCAAACATATTCCTTGTATATATTTTGCTGGCATGGCGCTCTATCGCAAGGTTAGCCTGCCGCACGACGCCTCCCTGATATAATGAAAGTATTAAAATGAACGAGATCAGTTCTTGAGCAGAAATCAGTAAAAAACAGAAATCTATTTTCTTGAATGGGAGCAACATATTTACAATCATTGTCCTCTTCTCCTCGTAGCTTTCATTGCGCTCACGGTCAAACTGAAGCCTCATGTATTGCCGGACAAAAAGCATGTATGACTTCAGCATATGGTTTGCACTCTCACTCCTCTGTGTACTTGTCATTTTTTGCACAAAACACACCTCTTAAATACGGTTTTGCCCATTTATGTCTTGTCTCATATATTTGGGTCCTATAGTTAGGCCCCCTCAAGTTGTACTTATCAAGCAGCGCGTCCCAGGCTGTTTCAAATTCCTCCTCAGCTAACATGTGGTTAACAACTTTGTGAAATTCAGCTTGGAAATCACACTTTTTCATGTAAAGCGGCCCAGTGTTTCCTTCGCCTTCTTCAGAACATGCCACTTGCACCAACGGTGGACAGTGTTTGGATAAATTTTCTTGATCGCAACCTCCATTGCTCTGCATTGGTCTGAGCAACCAAAAAACAGTTTCAATCAGAACCATAATTCAAGACTTATTTCCTTGCATGTTTTTATGTCATAACTCATTACTGCGTCCAGTGCAATTTGAAGGGATCTACAATAAAATATGTACAAGCAAGGGACATTTTTCGTGTTCAAATCACTCACCTGTTAGTATTGTTTTTGGTGCAAGTCCGCCCATCATGCGAATGAATTCTGAAAACACGCCATTAGAAGCTCTCTTCCTGCTCGTCGCGCATCAACGCTCCTGCCAGGATGATATTCTGGTAGTGATTGTTAACTCCAACAAATAGACCAAATGGCATGTCGTACAGATTTGTCCTGTATGTGGTGTCGAATGTGACCACGTCACCAAAGAACTTGTACTGCATCCTGCTGCTCCCATTAGCCCACGTGAGATTCTTCACCTTGTTGTCTTTCTCGGCGAGCACCACAAAGGAGAATCCAGGGTCACTCGACCGATTGTCGGCAAACACCTGTAGTGTCTTCCGTACATCATCTTCATCCTACTCACGACTAATCTTCTCACAAATGTTCCTCAGTGTCCTTTTAGTGAAAGGCACCTTCTCAACCGAACCAAAAAAGCTCCCAATTATGATGTATACATTGCCAAGGTTGACGTTGTTCTCCCTCAACTGCCTTATTAAATCTTTGGTATAGACGTCTATGTGTTTATGAGATGGCTAGTGCACTTTCTCTCCCATTGTAAGCGACATCAAATGATTGTGGCTCGCTCGGTGCTCTGGTATGTACCAACTGTTGTCTGATGCACGTCACAGTCTGATCAGAGCCGGGCACTCGCACATGCACGACCTGCTGTTTTCAGCGTTTGGTTTCCCCTGCATACCATACAACAGAGCTAGTCAAAGAATATCCCAGCAATTTGATATGTACAACCAAATTCACTTTGTACACTTTTTTTTTCATTTTAATCTGAAACTGAAAGGCCGCTCACCGAACAACCACAAACTATCTCCTGTATGCTTTTGGTTCTCTCAGCGTTCAGCCTGCTTTTTCCATATCTTATCCCAAAACCGATTTCCCAAGAATACAAGTTGTAGAAATCATACGCCTCGCCCAGTGAATCAAAACTAAGACCTAGCTCAGGTCGGACCACATTCTTGTCAGGTTGCTCAGCGTATTTACGCATTGATAGCTCCAGGGCGCTCATCCTTGATGGACAGGGCACACGGTCCGGTGGCACACTCCCGAGACGAAGCCTGCAGCGAGTTGCAAGCCCCACAATTTACATGCTGGATGTCTATGAGATTATCAAACAAACTGATTGTCACGAACAAATGTCAGAGAACCATCTCTCCCTGTATAGTCTTGCAAATCACAGTTTTTCAACCTCCCTGTGTGATCATATTATTTTCTAATCTAAAAAAGGCAAAGCCTAGTTCGTCTAGAAACAAAAAAACACAAAAACCAATTTTGACAGTTCACACCCTGTACCATCATTTTTTACATGTCTGCATTTCTATGTGAGAGAAGATTGGTGAAACAAGTAATTACCCCCACTCCCCCCCAGCACACACACACACCAGATTTGTTTCATCTGAATATGTAACCAAGGATCAATCGGGCGCCTACTTGTAACGGCAGTAACAGAAGATACAGATGGTCGTCGTCGGAGCCTCACCTTTTAGTCCAGCCGGGGGCCTGCGGATTTACTCTTCCCGTCGACTGGGCAGACCTCGTCGGAGATTCATCACGCCTACGCTCCACCTACCTGAGCATCGGTGAGCACACCATCGCACACCATCTCAGCTATCCCGGAATCAACATCCCCCTGGCGAATATCCTGATTAGCAGCCCCATTATCCAGAAGGTACATCAGCGGGACTGGAGCTATGTGGTCAAGGTTGTCGGCAAACTCCTCCCACACGGGGAACCTGCGTACAGAACGGCGAATCAGTCGCATAAGATTAGTTATCTTTCACAGATCAAGCTTATCCTATCGTCGTTCCTAGGAGAAAAACGGACCAGATCTGCACGGGAACGAACCTGTCGACCGCATCCAGTAGGAATTCCATTCCCTCGATGTCCATCCGCACCCAGCTTCACGGTCAAGCACCGTCGACGGCACCGGCGCCGCCACCCGCGACAGCAGCCTCGGCGAACTCTACTCCTTTTTTTCTTCGACGGCGGCGAGGGGCCTCTAGAATGAACCACCGAAAGGGATATCTCTTTCCTATTTTTTCATAACACACGGACGGGGTGCGGCCGACAAGCGGCTCAGACAGCGTAATCCATCTTGGACTCCTTATCTGATCCAGGCCCAGACTAGAAAAGCTAATGTCATGGTCCACGGCCTACTCAGGATTGCACGTTCCTGGTCCACGGCCCATTCCGACTACCCGCGACGTCCGTTCGACCGCGGGGGGCCAGCCCCACTTACGGTGCACTGTTCCATACTGTATTGGGAGGTTTTCTCCATTTACCAACGCTCGCACAGGACAGGCCAGCTGGCTTTCTCCAAATCCCAAGACTGCAACGGACGACGCAGATTATGGGTGCAGCTGAGCCCGACCTCCAAATCGACGCACTCGGTTTTCCCTCGCTTCTGGAGCTTTTCCCTCCATTTTCTCTCCCTGACGGGCCGCTCGCCAGGAGGTTCCTGGGCTCGTGATGGGCTCTGCATTTCCATTTGCTGTTGGGCTCTCATCCCCACTGAGAAAGAACTCTCCTAAAAAAACTCGCAATATTTTCTCGAAAACAAAAGCTCGTAATAAAACAGCAGACACCCCCTAAAAGAAACCGTAGAAAATATAAGATGGAAACCATGTTACAGTGGAGACATGTAGAAATTCAAGCTGAAAATCATTTGGGAGGTATGAACAATAAAAAATTCGGCAATGAATAGTGACAAAAGGTGCAACATCTTTTTGACCTCACTATTAATGGCAAACTTGTTTTTTCTTTCTCACCTCCCAAATGAATATAGATTTGACTATCAAAATTTTCAACGTATTTGGTAAAAATAAATAAGTTTGACTTGTGACAAAACTGAAACTTCAATTAATTTGCAAACAGAAGGATTTGAATGGAAGATCCTTACTGCCATGATATAATTAGGGGGAGACTTGTGTGAGATCTCACATTAAGTGAGATCAATTTTTACCGAAAAAGGGTTACCCCGCTTTGTATTCCAAAGCAACTAACACCGATACATAGAACGTTGGGGCGAGCAGCACAACAAGCTCAAAAGAAAAAAAGAAGAAAAAACAAATGCCAACAACGGCAGCTCGCTCTGCGACGAGCTCGATGGCACGTGTGGTGGTGTCGGTGGCTAGCAACCATGGATTTGGATGGCGAGACAACTGGTGAAAGCAGTGCTCAGTGCGTCCTGGTCTGACTAAGACATCGCCTGCGGACGTCGTTTCCTTGATGAAAGTGTCGTTGTTGTTGTCTCGTCCTCTGCCCTTGTTTCTATGGGGAAACCCTAGGTCCAGGCTCCTTGGTCCGGACGATGACATCTATGATGTCGTGTTCACTCTTGGCGGCACCATCCTGAAGTTTGAATCGGCTGGAAAGACCCGTGGTTGGCATGGTGGTCATTGATTGCTCGTGTGGCAGCGACAATGTGGGTGTGCGAGGTCGAGGTTGTAGTGAGACTGTGGTAGTTGGCTTGGCTCTCTAGGTGTCCGTAAGCTCATCGTGGTACGTTTGTTGTAGTGGGGTCAAAGTTGTGTGGTGGGTCCTTGTGGCAACGACGACAAGCAGTGGATGGCCCATCTTGATGATTCTTCGCAGCGTCACCCTTGCATAGTGCTCTGTCGCTCGTTTATTCCTGGATTCATTGTTGGCCCCGTTGCTGGCGTGTGTGTTGTTCATTTGGCTTGGATCTTCATGTGGCTGCTTCTGCCACTTCGATGTGTACTCAGTCATTGGTTGCTTCCTTTAAGTCAAAATGCTTGCTCGGGGAGAATTGGTGATGATGCCGCTAAGGTACCAACTCGTCGATATTTCCTTCGTAGCAGTGTGTGATTTATATTGTGTCATGTGCACTGAGTTATATAGTTTATCGTCTGTTTTTTCTCTAATTAACTGGGCAACACTCTTCTTCTTAATCATTGAAAATGAGTTTGCCCCGTTTATTTATATAGATAAAAAGAAAATTTTGTTTCGCTTCTCCCTGTGTACTTATGGTAGAAGAAAGACGAGTGATACAAACAGCGAGATCGAACGGCTCGCGGGAAGCAAGGAACGATCGTCTGACTAGCGAGGCGATTGATCGGTGGCTTCCATCGGTTGACCGACGCCCATCGGCGTAAAAAAACACGCATACGACGAGCTCTGGCGGCAGGCGCCGCCGATTCCCTTTAATGTGGCGATCGATCGGTGCCTTCCTCCGCCTCTTCGTTGCCGTCTTGCCGACGGATCTGACGAGGAAACGCGGCGCGCCGGTAGCAGTATGCACGCAGACTGGCGTGCCACGACCATGCAGCCACCGCTGGAGCTCTCGCCGCCGGCACCCGCCCCTAGGTCTGCACACCCGTGACCTCTCCCTCCCTCTCTTTTCCCCTCCTCTTCCTAGTGCAGATTTGTTGGGTGGATTGGATCCAAACTAGAATCAGCCAAGAACACATCTCTACGGCAGCTATTGGTCAGTAGCCGTCGTGCATCTTGGTAATTTTGCCGGTTTCCTTGCCGAGATGCACGCCCGCCCCTCAGCAATGCTTTGGTTGGGTAAGGTGAGCGTACTGAGAGATTGCACAAATGTTGTCCGGATAAACAGGTGAGAGTTTGAGATTGGTGGCACTTGATGTGTTATTTGCTTCGAGAATACTCTACAAAGTACAAACATCACCGGTATAGCTACTTGTAGTCGCCTGAATTTATAATTTGGTCAGTCGAATTTCGCGTGAAGGAAGGAGCTCTTATGAGGAGCCCTCTGGGTCTATCTTAGAGTGGCAGGCGACCGCGCTATCTATCTTAGGGGGGCAGGCAACCTCATTATCTATCTTAGGGGTGTGGGAGGTGGTTTCGCCAGGAAAAAACTGGTCATCGCCAGGCGGCGGAAGCACGGTGGTGGGCGACGGTTCAGGGGAGCGCCGTCAGCCGCGGGCGGTGGAGGCAGGCGGTTAGGCCTGTGCTGGATCGGTGAGGGAAGAGAAACAGTACACCTACCGGTTTGAGGTTGAAGATGAAGCATTGTCCGTTGGATCTTGATCCAATGGTTGAGATAGGAGGGGGAGAATTGGCTGACCGTTTTCAGATTTTTACGCGACTGTCGCCTAGCCGCTCCCAAATATCACCCCCAAATGCATGACTCGGAAATGTACCAATTTTAGCTCACTAAATAAGGTTATCTTTATTCTGTCGTACTGAGCATCAAGCTGTTGGCTATTCTGGGGTAGCTTATTTTAATTGTAGTGTGCCATCTTGATATACATCTTACTATGTAAAGTATTAATGTTTAATGACTTGGAAATTTGTGTTTCTCCTCAATGTGTAGTACTGCAGTAAGAGCCTAAGTACTACCACATTTCCAATCTTTTTTCTATGATATCTGATTCCTCAATGCTGATACATTGTTCTTGAAATTTTTGTATGACAGAGAAGTGGTCGTCGCAGAGTGGCCATCTAAGAAAATCTGCCACTGCTTGGTCTCTACCTCAGCCTCATCTGAACACCGTGTTTGGGCAGACCTACCGGACAGTCTGCTTCACCTAATCATTGCTCTCTTAAGCTCATTCCATGATCTCCTTGCTTTTACTGGCACCTGTCACTCTTGGCGTGCTGCGGTCTTTTCCTTCCCGTCATCCATATATGCCTTCGTCTTCCCACCTCTCCATCTCAAAGCAGGTTTGCGTAAGGCTAATCGGGATTACGGCACATGGTATTATCTTTTATCAAACTACAAATGGCGTCTTTGTGATCCTGTGAGGACAGACTTATCTCTTCGCCGCTCAGCTCCCCGTAATGCTCCAAATTACATGCGCTATTTGGGCTGCTCATATGGGCATCTTATTTTCTCCTGTTTGGAGCACCTTCTCCTTGTCGACGTTTACACATGTACTAAGGTGAAGCTGCCCAAACTCCAAGCCAACAGCGGTTGTGCGATCTATTGTGGCATTCTTATGGCTCCACTCAGTTCATCCAGCTCGTGTCTCCTCCTTTTCTCGAAATCATCCATGTTCCAGTGGCAGGTTGGAACAAATTCGTGGACAGAGTACCCTCTTGTTTCTGAACAATTCTTTGTTCAGATTGTTTTGTTCAAAGGTCAGTTGTTTGCCATAGACTTTCCCCACACGCTCAAAACCATATCCTTGGCACCTCATCCCAGCGTGCAGGAAGTCGATGTTGTATGGGGAGAGGACATCGTTGTTGGCTTGAATTATGATCCATGGTTGGTGGTCTGTGGTGACATGCTTCTCATGGTTGATCTTGTTGATGACTTGATAAGCAATGGCACCTTTCAAGTCTTCCGCTTTGATTCTTCAGCTGAACCAGCTAAGTGGACCAAGATGGAGAAGTTGGAAAACTGGGCTCTCTTTCTCAGCCTTGATAGGATGAGCCCTACATTTTCTTGCATGAGCCCTGAAAGATGGGGCGGAAAGAGTAACTGCATTTACCTTCCGAGTGTGTCCAAAGACTCTGATGAACCTTGGATTGCTGTAGAGCTTGGTCAGGCAGTTTACAGCACAAGTCGCTCCAATTCATACATCCTAGGAGGCAGAAGCAATCAGCTTGAGAGCCTCTGGGTGCTCCCCAGTTTGGTCTATGGTGTTCGCCAGTGAACGATCATGTTTGGTTGTCGCGTGGAAAGGTTTACTAGCTAAAAAAATTATGAAGGAAATCTAAAAAATTATGAAGGTTTACTAGCTAGTCTACTGCTGTATTGTATAGAAAATCATGGTGTTAGCTTTGATGCAGCTTATTGCGACTGAAATGTAGCATCCATTTTTTTTCTCGCTACTATGAGCTCGGCAGCATGTTATTTTGTTAAAATACACATAGTCCAGCAGATGCAAGACGTGATTAGTCTACGCTCATATGTACAACATTGCCCCTCCTTGATTTCTGTAATTCGGAGGTTGATCCTTTCACTGATGCCCCTCTCATCATCACTCAAAACTGGAATGAGTTCTATCTTATATTTCTTGAGACTGTTCAAAGGTATGCAGAGGTGTGGTTTCAACAATCATCATCAGTCATGCCCATTACACTGTTTATTGAACTGGAATTGGTTGGGGAAGCAAAACACCTTTGTTAATCATGAACATGGGAGGTTTTAGAATGGGTGAGTAGTACAGTTACTATTCCACTGAAACACATCACTCAAGTAGAAGCACTGTCTTTCGGAGTGATGATTTGGCATAGGTGCATATAAGAGTCTTGAAGCAGAAATGAGGGTTTAAGGGATTCAGTTTCATGAATTAAAGAATAAAAAAATTGTTTGAGAATTAAAGAAAAATGTTCTCACATATCTTTAATATTTAACGTCTAAAAATACTGGTTTTCCGTGTTTAAAAAGTCCATTCATGTATTTTAAAAAATATTCATTGTGTATTTAAAATACTGGAAGTAACATAATTAAAAAATGCTCATCGTGTATGTTCATCGGATATTTGTATGTTCATCACGTAGTTAAAAATGTTCACTCTCATAATTGAAAAGGTATTATCGCTTCTTTTTCGAAAATATTCTGCCCATAAAACACTAAAGGTTATGTACGCAAAAACGGAAAACATCAAAAGGACAAAAAGGTAAATGACAAAAAAGGAAAAGAAAAAAGAAAAAAGTGGAGAGAAAGAAAGGAACTAAAAACCCCATCAATAATAAAATGGAAGGAAAAATTAAAAAGAAATGAGAAAATCAGAAAAAATATGGAAATACGAAAGAAATAATTGTATAGAAAAAATAAACAGAAAAAGGGGGGAAAATAAAGAAAAATAAAAACGGAGCCTCCCACAAATCACTGGAGAGAGGCCGAATAAGAAGCGACTGATTGGGCTGGCGTACAGACTACAGAACCTCCCACAAATCCCATCTCTTGGGTCTGACCTTTGCGCTCGATGGCGCGCGGGGAGACGGAGTCGGCGGACAACATTTCAGCGCCGGCGGAGAACGCGGCGGAGACAGTGGCGGTGAAGGGGAAGGGAAAGCGAAAGGGCAAGGGCAAGAGGAAGGGGACGAAGACGAAAGATCTAGGTGAGATAAACTGCCAGCTTTCATCGTTCTCTCTCTTCAATTTCCCCCAAACCGGAAGGAAAATTTGTACTAGTTGTTGGCAACTTAATCTAGTCGTTGATAGCTGTAGTTTTTTGCTTTCCTTTATTTCAGTTAAGTTCAGTTAGGCATGAGCCGCGTCTGTGCGTGCCGTGCATGTAGGGCTAGGACCCGGTCTTGGTGCTCGCGGGATGGCGCGAGCGTGAGCCAGATCGTGGCGCCGAGGTAGGATCTCTACCGGCCACCGTTTCCCTTTCTGTAACAGAATAAGAAGGAATGAGATAGACAGAAAAGTCGCAACGTTTTTACGCGACGCAAAACCCCTAGAGTTCATCTCTGTTAGAGTGAGATCGAGAGAGACTAGGGATTTCTGACAATTGGCATCAGAGCCTCCTTCGATCCAAAGCGACCATGTCCAACGGCGGCGCACGCACGCCGTCGACGCCACCCGACGGTCAGGGCGGAGGACACGGGACCACCGGCGACACGGACGGGGCTGTGGCGCGGCCACGCGGGCGCAGCCGTGGCCGCAGCGTCGTCAGACGCCGCGGCAACGAGGTCATCATCCACGAGCGCGTGGTGCAGGATCGCTCCAACTACGGCAGCAACATCGTCTACCCCACGCTGACGGCGACAAACTACATCGAGTGGGCCCTCGTCATGAAGATCAATCTGCGGGCGCAGGGTCTCTGGGAGGCTGTGTCCGGCATGGGCGAGCCGGGCGATCGTGAGGACATGGCGGCACTCTCGGCGCTGATCCGGACAGCACCGCCTGAGATGACGCCGGTGCTCGCCGTCAAGGACACAACGCATGAGGCGTGGGAGGCAATCCGCATGATGCGCGTGGGCGTGAACCGCGTGCGGGAGGCGACGGCGCAGCGGCTGCGCAAGGAGTTAGAGCAGATCGCCTTCAAGGAGGGTGAGTCCCTTGACGCCTTAGGCATGCGCATTACAGGCATCGTCAACAACCTCCGCTCGCTCGGCGACACGGTCGACGAGCTCAAGGTGGTGCAGAAGTTCCTGCGCGAGGTACCTGCGCAGTACGCCCAGATCGCGTGCTCGATTGAGACGCTGCTCGACCTCAACGGCATGTCAGTGGAGGAACTGATCGGACGACTCCGATCGGCCACCGAGCGCTGCTCCATCACCACCCCGAACCACGGCGGCGAGCTCCTTCTCACGGAGCAGGAGTGGCTCGCGCGCGCCAAACAAAGGGAGAAGGGGCAGGGCTCCAACTCCGGCGGCGGCAAGAACAGGGGCAAGCAGCAGCAGAGCACGGGGCGTGGCGGCGAGCAGAACAGGCGGGAGTCCGGGGGTGGTCGCGACATGTCCAAGGTAAAATGTTACAATTGTAACAAGTACGCGAATCACTTCTCCAGGGATTGTCCCGAGCCTCGCCGTGAGCGCAAGGAACGCGTCAATCTGACGCAAACGGAGGAGGAGCCGAGGGAGTCCGCGCTCTTCCTCGCCAGCATCTGCGCGCTCTCCATCACTGAGGGGGCCAACGAGCACGTTCTGCTGAGCGAGGAGCGCTCCCAGGCTCACACCGCTGCACAAGGGGAGGACTGCGACACGTCCTGGTTCCTGGATACGGGAGCCAGTAACCACATGTCTGGACGGAGGGACATCTTCTCCGACCTCGACACGGGCGTGCACGGCTCGGTCAAGCTGGGCGACGGCTCGGCGGTGCAGATCGAGGGGAAGGGAACAATCCTCTTCGAGAGCCGCACGGGCGAGCACCTCGTTCTGTCAGAGGTCTATTACATCCCGAGGTTGCAGAGCAACATCATCAGCGTCGGCCAACTGGACGAGAACGACTACGACACCCGCATCAACCACGGCATCCTGGAGCTGCGAGACCCGGACGGGCGGCTGATTGCGCGGGCTCCGCGCACACAGGGGCGTTTGTACGTTCTGCGCCTAAACCTGGCGCGCCCCGTGTGTCTGGCGGTGCACGGCGGCGAGGACGCGTGGCGGTGGCACGCGCGGTACGGCCACATCGGCTTCCAGGCCCTGCGTCGCCTCGCCCGCGAGGAAATGGTGCGTGGCCTGCCACCGATCGACGAGGCGGATCGTGTCTGCGAGGCGTGCCTCGCTGGGAAGCAGCGACGCGCGTCGTTCCCGCAACAGGCTCTGAACCGTGCGGAGACGGTGCTTGAGCTGGTGCACGCAGACATCTGCGGCCCAATCTCTCCCCCTACGCCGGGTGGGAAACGCTACTTCCTGCTGCTGGTCGATGACAAGAGCAGGTTCATGTGGCTGCGGCTCCTCGCGACCAAGGACGAAGCAGAGATGGTTCTGAAGCAGTTCCAAGCAGCTGCAGAACTTGAGTCGGGGCGCCGTCTGAAGGCGCTGCGCACGGATCGCGGAGGCGAGTTCACCTCCTCCAGCCTCGGGAAGTACTTCGCTGATCAGGGGGTGAAGAGACAGCTTACGGCTCCCTACTCGCCCCAGCAAAACGGCGTGGTTGAGCGGCGAAATCACACCGTCGTCGGCATGGCGCGCACTCTCCTGAAGGCAAAGGGTGTCCCTGGGTGTTTTTGGGGGGAGGCAGTCACCACGGCGGTGTACCTGCTCAACCGCTCCACGACCAAGAGCGTGGCCAAAATGACGCCGTACGAAGCTTGGTGCGGCAAGCGGCCTGCCGTTCATCACCTCCGGGCGTTTGGGTGCATCGCTCACGTCAAGACGACGCGCCCAAATGCAAAGAAACTGGACGACAGGAGCCAACCGATGGTGCTGCTCGGATATGAACCCGGCACCGCGGCGTACCGGGTGTATCATCCGTCAACAGGGAAGGTGCACGTCTCCAGGGATGTCATCTTCGACGAGCAGGCCGCTTGGGACTGGAGCAAGCCCCAGGGAGCGGAAGAGCCAGCACCTGTTCAGGGTTCATTCGTCATCGAGGAGGCGTATTGGCCGGCGGTCACCGCGGACACTTTTGACGCGGCGCCCACGACGCCGATGCCGTCCGCGTCACCCTACACGGCTGCTGCAACGTCCATGCCCCTGAGCACGCAAACGCCATCGACACTCGAGTCCATGGAGCAGGGCTGGGAGACGAGCGCTGGACAGGGTGTAGCAGTCAACGTGCATCCTATGCGCACCCGCGCCAAGGAGGGCATAGTGCAGCCGAACACACAGCTGGCTGACTACGTTCTGTTCGCCGAGGAAGAAGAACAGCACTCATGTCTGCTAGCTGCAGAAGAACCAGCGACGTACAACAAAGCCAAATCCGTGAAGGGGTGGTGCGACGCCATGGAAGAGGAGATGCGAAGCATCGTCGACAACCACACCTGGGAGCTGTGTCAGCTCCCTCCTGGGCACCGGGCCATCGGCCTAAAGTGGGTGTACAAACTGAAGAAGGACGCTCAGGGGGCCGTGGTCAAGCACAAGGCGAGGTTGGTTGCAAAGGGATATGTCCAGCGGCAAGGGATTGATTTTGAGGAAGTGTTCGCGCCGGTCGCACGGATGGACTCGGTGCGCTTGCTGATCGCCCTCGCCGCGCACCACGACTGGCAGGTGCACCACATGGACGTGAAATCAGCGTTCCTAAACGGCGACCTGC